TGAGAGCACCGAGTGTCCTTAGCTCTTTCCATTGCTTTGGGTTAGGAGCTGATTTTTGCCTTTGGCCACAGGGAACACTTTTTAAAAAATTTAGCCCATGCCCTGGGCGTTTTGGCTCAGCGGTTAGAGCAGCGGCCTGCGGTCCAGAGAGACCCGGGTTCGGTTCCCGCTAAGGGCATGTACCTCGGTTGCAGTTTGTCCCCGGTCCTGGTTGGGTCGTGTGGGTGGCAGCCACTCAATGTGTCCCTTTCACGTTGATGTTTCTCTCTCTTTCTCTTCCTCTCTCTCCCTCCCACTCTATCTGAACAAAAAAACGAAAAAATCTCCTCGGGTGAGGATAAAAAAAAATAAAAAAAAATTAGCCCAGCTGGTGTGGCTCAGTGGTTGAGCATCGACCCCTGCACCAAGAGGTCGCCTGTTCAATTCCCGGTCAGGGCACATGCCCAGGTTGTGGGCCCGATCCCCAGTGGGGGGCATGCAGGAGGTGGCCAGTCTGTGTTCTCTCTCATTGATGTTTCTCCATTTCCTTTCCTCTCTCTAAAGTCAGTAAAGAAAAAAAAATTAAAAACTAAAATTTTAAAGGACTGTATGATTGTAGTTGGTACAAATGAGATCCTCTTTGTCCAGAGAGGCCAGAACTGAAAGGACTTCAGTGCTGAGCTACTTTTCTTGGGATTGTTTCCTGTTGTCTTTGTTGTTTAATTTTTGGAGCCTCTGTGTTCTGTTGAACTTTCCTCCTTCCAGTTCCTTCCCCATGTCTATCTCTTTTTTTTTCCTTTATTGATTTTTAGAGAGAGAAGAAGGGAGAGGGAGAGAGAGAAACATCAATTGGCTGCCTCCTGCATGCCCCCCACTGGGGATTTGGCCCACAACCTGGGCATGTGCCTTGACTGGGGATCGAACCAGCGACCTCTTGGTGCATGGGTCAATGCTTAACCACTGAGACACACTGGCCGGGCGCCCATCTCTCTCTCTTTTTTTTTTTTTTTAATTTATTTTTGTCTTTATTGTTGTAAGTATTAGAGATGTTCTTCCCTTTTTCCCCCATTGATCCCCTCCTTCCTGCTCCTACCTCCTTTCCCCATCTCTTGCTTTTCCCTTTCCAGGCTGCCTCAGAACAAAGCCTGTGTGGTTTTTCTTCCTGGATGATTCTCTGAGGGCTAAGAAGGAATTTATTGAGGGAGACTGTCATCATTCTGTTTCCTGCTTGGATCAGATGTTGACTGCTGGACATTTTCACTACCATAAACTGCTCTGAATTATCTAAATTGGAGCAATGGAGATCATTGAGTACTGTTATTTTTCACTTTAGAAACTCTACTTAAAACTCTAGAAAGTGAAAAACTTTGTGGGTGAGATAGAGTGGTGTACTATTTGGTTTCTTAAAGACTTGTATGCTATTAGTGGCCACTTTCCTAAGAGTCAACTATAACCCAGCCGGTGTGGGTCAGTGGTTGAGCGTCAACCCATGCACCAAGAGGTCGCCGGTTTGATTCCTGGTCAGGGCACATGCCCAGGTTGTGGGCCCGATCCTCACTGGGGGGCATGTGGGAGGCGGCCTATTGATGCTCTCTCTTATCGCTGTTTCTATCTCTCTCTCCCTCTCCCTTCTCTCTCTAAAATTTATTTATTTTTTAATTTTTTTTTTTTATCCTCACCTGAGGACATTTTTCCATTTTTTGTTCAGATAGAGTAGGAGGGAGAGAGAAAGAGAGAACGAGAAACATCGATGTGAAAGGGACACATCGAGTGGCTGCCACCCGCACGACCCAACCAGGGCCGGGGACAAACTGCAACCTAGGTACGTGCCCTTAGCAGAAACCGAACCCAGGTCCCTGTGGACCGCAGGCCGACACTCTAACCACTGAGCCAAACCGGCCAGGGCTCTCTCTAAAATTTAATAAAGAAAAAAAAAATGAGTCAACTATAAAACCAGTATTAATAATATGTTGTTTTATTAGAGAGAGAGGAAAGAAGTTACCAGAAGCAAGCAGCAAGATCTTTCATTTTTAGGTAGAATCAGTTTAGATCTCACCATTGCTGACTTAGCACCTGAATGAGCAACTTCTGAGCACCATGCAGGTCCAAGCCCAGCTGCTACTGCAAGTGCTTGTGGATGTTTTCCCAGCTCTGGTTCTAACATAATAATGACTAATATCTATTGAATGCTTATTGTGTGTCAAGCATTGTGCTATGCAAAGTAGGATCATTGATTACAAACAGGAAGAACAGTGGAGCAGGAGCCCTGTTCCCTTCTGCCCCCTTCCTTTCCTCATCAAAGAGAATCTTCTTACCTTTCCTCCCCTGACTGAAAACCAGTCTTGCAACCACCTAGGCCTAGGCCGTTCTCTCCTTCTGGCTCACTTAAAAATGAATTGAGTAGTAAAACTGGGGGCAAAAGATTGTGAAAAGTACAAGACAGAAAAATGAAGCATGTTTTCAGTTTGCAAGGTGTTTTCTCATTGATCTATCTATTTGATTAGCAACCACTACCCAGTCAAGGGAGGCAAAGATGGTTATATCCCCACTTTACACATGAAAAAAAAATGCAATCACTGCATGTTAAGTGATTAGCCAGGGCTGTCAGTAGAAAAACCAGCCTATGGCACTGGGCCAGTGTGGCTCAGGTGGTTGGAGCATCATCCTGTGCACCAGAAAGTCTCAGTTTTGATTCCTGATCAGGACATATACCTCGGTTGCAGGTACAATCTCAGTCAGTCAGTATCATATAGGAGGCAACTGATCCATGTATCTCTCTCTCTCACATTAATGTTTCTCTCTCTCTCCCCCTCCTTCCTTCCTTTCCTCCCTCTCTCCTTCCCTCTTTTCCTCCCTCCTTCCCTCTCTCTCTAAAGTCAATTTAAAAAAAGGAAAGAAAAAAAGCCTAGAGCTTTGAGCTTCTCCCAGAATTCTTTGCACTAGACTCAGATGCATATGTCAGACACATGAACAGGTGTGTTTAATACCTTAGGATACCAAGTGCCAAAATGATATCTCAGATGCTTATAGAGAGTGTTTTATTTTCACCCAAAATGAATCATTTATTTATATATATTATTACATCATTTAGTGGGCAACTTAATTGATATGAGTAACGAGACATTTAATTCTGTACCTGAAGGCTCCCATGTGCCCCTTTTCCCAAGTGCCTGCTCATACACATACTGGATAACAGTTGTTTTGGGGGCTAACAGATTCATAACAGAGTAGTTTTCCAAGGGAGGAAATCCTACTCATCTACAACCCCTGGGAATACTAAGGAGACTGAGAAGGTAGATGGCTCTTGTGGCGGGCCACTCTGACCTTACCTGACTCCTTGCTGTTAGAGGTTTATGGAGCTTTTGTTTCTCTTGCTGGCCCACTTAGCGGCTTGGAACCAGGCTGGCTGAGTGACACTGGTCCAAAGTGGGCTGTTCCATGTAACTTCTTGTTCCTCTCAGTTGCCTGGTAAAGCAGTGAGCCCGTTACCAAGTTGATCGAATCTTGCTGTGTGTTAAGTCCTATGGAAGATATAGGGTGGAGAAAAGTGATTAAAATACCAACCAGGGCCCGGGCCGGTTTGGCTCAGCGGTTAGAGCGTTGGCCTGCGGTCTGGAGAGACCCGGGTTCAGTTCCCGCTAAGGGCACGTACCTCGGTTGCAGTTTGTCCCCGGCCCTGGTTGGGTCGTGTGGGTGGCGACCACTCGATGTATCCCTTTCACATCGATGTTTCTCTCTCTCTCTCTCTCTCTCTCTCTCTTTCCCCCTCCCCTCCCACTCTATCTGAACAAAATATCAAAAAATGTCCTCGGGTGAGGATAAATAAATAAATAAATAAATAAAATACCAAGCAGGGTGCCTGGCATTCATTTATTCAGTAGCTGGTTATTGAACTCCTCCTCTGTGCCATGTTGTGATCCAAGTGCTAGAGATGTAAAGAGAAAATAGACAGGGTTCTGCCTCCATGTATATAGTGAAAGGGCAGTGTCACTGCAGTCGGCATTTAGAAAATTATTAGTATCGTCATTAACATTAAGGTTCCTATCTTTGTAACAATAGTGATGTTATTAATAGAATAATGAGTGGTTTACCATCTTAAGGTTATGGGAAATGAAGGCTTATATTACCACATCCAGTGGTCTGTTTACATTTCTCTAACTGCTTTTTTTCAAACCAGCATACTTTTGAGTATCAGGAAGGAGTTTTTTTCTCATAACTGGAGGATACTTGCTGTAAAGGTTCATTACTCTAGCCGGAGTAAAATACCACATAATTGGATTAGGATCTTTGTTTCTGGGGTTCTGTGTTCTGAGAGTAGGGGCCCTGAGCATCTTTTTAGAGCTCCAGTCTGGTATTTCTATCTTTCTTTTTTTTATTTTTTTTTCTTTATTGATTTTTAAGGAGAGGAAGAGACAGATAGAAACATCAGTGAGCGAGAACATCCATTGGCTGCCTCCTGTATGCCCCCCACTGGGGATTGGGCCCACAACCTGGGCATGTGCCCTGACTGGGAATCAAACCGGCGACCTCTTGGTGCATGGGTCGACGCTCAACCACTGAGCCACACCGGCCAGACTTTGTTGAGTTCTTTATATTAGCGTAGACGCTAGTTCTTTATCAAATATATGATTTACATATATTTTCTGCCATTATTTGGGTTTTTTTTTCACTGTCTTGATGATATCCTTTGCAGAATGAAAGTTTTCAATTTTGATAAAGTCTGTTTTAACTATCTTTTTGTTGTTGTCATATCTAAAAAAACCATTGGCTAATCCAAGGTTATAAAGATTTGTTCCTATGTCATCTTCTGAGAATTTTATAATTTTAGCTCTTTCATGACCACTAAGTTCCTGTTAGCTATTTGCTAAGAGTAAGGGCTGGATGGAGGCTGTTACACTGGGGCTTTTCTATACCACCTTGACAAACCAGTCAAGGACCTTGACTCTGAGAAACATTTGTTCTTCTTGCACATGTTTCTAGCTATTTTGCTGTTTCTTTATTTCATTGTCTTTTTTTTTAAGGTAACAAATGAAGAGGACTTCATTAGGAAACTGGACTGCAAACCTGATCAGCATCTGAAAGTTGTTTCCATTTTTGGAAATACTGGTGATGGGAAGTCTCATACCCTCAATCACACTTTCTTTTATGGACGTGAAGTCTTCAAAACTTCTCCTGCCCAGGAGTCCTGCACTGTGGGAGTGTGGGCAGCGTATGACCCTGTCCACAAAGTAGCAGTGATAGACACAGAAGGCCTCTTGGGGGCTACAGTCAATATAAGCCAGAGAACACGGCTGCTGCTTAAGGTTCTGGCCATCTCAGACCTCGTCATCTATCGAACTCATGCAGACCGGCTGCATAATGACCTCTTCAAGTTCCTTGGAGACGCCTCAGAAGCTTATCTGAAGCACTTCACCAAGGAGCTCAAGGCTACCACTGCCCGCTGTGGCCTGGATGTGCCCTTGTCCACCCTGGGTCCTGCTGTTATCATTTTCCATGAGACTGTGCACACTCAACTATTGGGCTCTGGTGAGTGGGCAGGGTACTGTGTCACAGATTGACCTTTCTTGGTACAAGGAGGCAGCCATTGGGCTCTAATAGAAACTTGGTGGTGGTGTATTGCCCAGAAAAATTTTTGCCTGGCCAGGACATAAGGAAGTGTTTCCAGAAGGATGGAATGAATGAACCGTGTGAAAATCTGCTTATGGTCAGAATGAGGATTAAGAATTGTTGAATGGCCCTGGCCAGTTTGGCTCAGCGGTTAGAGCATCGACCTGCGGTCCAGAGAGATCTGGGTTCAGTTCCTGCTAAGGGCACGTACCTCAGTTGCAGCTTGTCTCTGGCCCTGGTTGGGTTGTGCGGGTGGCAGCCACTCGATGTTTCTCTCTCTCTCTCTCTCTCTCTCTCTCTGTCTTCCTCTCTCACCCTCCCACTCTATCTGAACAAAAAATGGAAAAATGTCTTCAGATGAGGATAAAAAAAAGAAATTGTTGAATGGGTACTGGCTTGTGTGACTCAGTGGTTAGAGTGTCAGCCCACACACCGAAGGGTTACGGGTTCAATTTCTGGTCAAGGGCATGTATTTGGGTTGCAGGTTTGATCCCCGGCCCTGGTCGGAGCGTGTGCAGAGGCAACTAATCAATGTGTCTCTCACATCTCTCTCTCTCTCTGTCTCTCTCTCTCTCTCTCCCTCCCTCCCTCCCTCCTCCCCTTTCCCTCTTCTACTCTCTCTAAAAATCAATGAAAAAAATATCTTTCAGTAAGGATTAACAATAAAAGAAAAAAGAATTGTTGAATATCTTTGGCAAAATAGAGGTCCTTGGTTATATGCATAAAACCTGTTTCCCAGAGATGGTGGGCATGAAAGCCTAATCAGAGTGGGCTCGAGAGAATAGGAGAAGGAAGGTAGTGAGTATATTCAACTCTTTCAAAGAGTTCTGTAAAGGGAAGCATACAGAGGAAATGATAGCTGGAGGCTAATGTGGGAATTCAAGGAATTTTCCCTTTTTAAAATTTAAGGTGTGAGGTAGTGCAGATATTTGTGTACTGATGAGAATAATTCACTGGAAAGTAGATGTAAGAGACAGCAGGAACGTTGGAGTGATGCACAGTGGGAGAGTTGGTTGTAGGAGCATGGACAGCTCATCTGTAACAGGAGAGAAGGTAGAGTATATGGACACAGTTGCAAGTAAATAAATAGGGTGTGTGTGTGTGTGTAAGTCAGTTGTCTTACTGTTTCTCTCTCTCTCTCTTTTTTTTTTTTGGTACATGCCCTTAGCGGGAACCAAACCCAGGACTCTCTGGTCCGCAGGCCAACGCTCCAACTGCTGAGCCAAACCGGCCAGGGCTGTTTCTCTTTTCTGAGAGAAACAGGAAGAGATCATCACCTGAGTGGGAGGATAAGGGAGCAGGTGCAACAACAGTAACTGAGTGCAGGTGGGAATAGTAGTGTTGGCCCCGAAAGCAGTTACACCATTCACCTGTTCAAAGTTTATTAAGTGCACAATGTCATACACTGAGCAGTGGAGCACCAAGCTGAAAAGAAACACAATTTCCATCCTTGAATAAATCACAAGTCTAGTTGGGGAGACCATGAGTGTTCTGTTTTGTAATAGATGTGGGTACTGGAGCTGTGGGAGTGTGGAAGAGGGACATTTGACACCTTCTAATGGGATCCAGGAAAGAGGAGGTGACATTTGAACTCTAGAGACTTAGCTAGATAGGAGAGGGGAGGAGGGATGCTTTAGAAACAGCAAATCCCTGTGATTTGAAAGAGTGAGCTGTATCCAGGGAACTGCGGGTAGTTCTGGAGCTTCCTGACTTCTGTTCTAGCCCCCTTCAGTGCATCCTCCACACAGCACCCAGAGTGATCTTTTATTAATTCTCACCCAAGGATATTTTTCTATTGATTTTTTTTTTTTTTTTTTTAGATAGAGTGGAATGGAGGGGGGAAGAGAGAGAGAGAAAGAGAAATATCAGTGTGAGAGACACATCAATTGGTTGCCTCCTGTATGACCCCAACTGGGGCAGGGATCAAATCTGAAACCCAGGCATGTGCCCTTGACTGGGAATCAAACCAGAGACCCTTCAGTCTGTGGGCTGATCCTTTAACTGCTGAGTCAACCCAGCCAGGGCTCCACAGTGACCTTTTTAAAAGCTTAGTTTATAATTTAGATCATGTCATACTCCTGCGTATAGCCTATCAATGGCTTTTCACTACATCAAAATAAAATCCCAATTCATAATTATAGTGTCCTCACTCTAACTCCTACCTGTGTCTCTGAATTTCTCTAGTTATCCTTCATTCCCTCCCCTCACCCACTAAATGCACTCCCCTCTCTCTTTTTTATTTATTTTTTTGTTAATCCTCACCCGAGCATATTTTTTTCATTGATTTTTAGAGAGAGTGGAAGGCAGCAGAGGAGGGAGAGGGGGAGAGAGAGGAAAGCATTGATGTGAGAGAGACACTGCCTCCCTCATGCACCCTGACCAGCAACCCAGGTATGTGCCCTGGACTGGGAATGCAACCTGAGACTCTTCAGTGCACAGGCCAACACTCTAACCACTGAGCAACACCGGCCAGGGCAGTGCCCTCCCCTCTTCATGCATGTGTGTGTGCGTGCTCACATATGACATTGTGTATACTCCCTCCACTAGCTACATGAGCCTTTTCTCTATTCATACCTTTGCATATGCTACTCTTCCCCCAGCTAGCCATACTTTTTTCAGATTCAACTCAACTCTCATCCACTTGCAGCCTTTCCTGACTGTCCCCTATAAAGTTGTTCTTCTTGCATTCTAGTGGTTGTACTTTTATTGCATCACTCTGTTCATTTGCATCAGGGCACCTGTTGCTATCTGAAATCATGCTGTATATTTGCTTACTTTAAAAAAAGAAAACTCACCTGAGGGTATTTTTTATTTATCTTCAGATAGAGTGGGAAGGAGGGAGGGAGAGAAAAAAAGAGTGTGAAACATCAATGCAAGAGAGACACATCAACCGGTTTCTTCCTGCACGACTCCAACCAGGGCCAGGGACCAAACTGCAGCCACAGTATGGTACGTGCTCTTGATGGGAATTGAACCCACGACTCTCCGGTCCGCAGGCCAGTGCTCCAGCTGCTGAGCCAAACCAGCCAGGGCTGCTTGCTTTTTTTATCTTTTCCGATTAGAATGGAAACTCCATGAAGGCAGGAACCTTGCCTATCTTACTCACTGCTATATATAAAGAGCCTGGCTGAGTGCTTTATACATAGTAGGCTCTCATCAGATGTTTGTTCAATGAATAAATGAAGAGGCTCAGTGTGTCTGAAGCATAGATTGTATGGGAGGGAATGGTAGAGATATACTTGGGAATCAGATCATGGATGGCTTTGACTCAGTTAAGTATGAAAGGATTTTAAGCAGGTTGTTTTCAAAAGATCCTCCAGCAGCATGTTGCAGGATGAACTGGAGAAGCATGCCTAGAAGAGACAGGGAGCCCAGCCAGGAGGTTTTCACCATTCTAGGTGAGAAGTAATGGGGGCTGAGCCAGGGCAGTGGCAGTAGGAGGGAAGTGGACAGACTGGGCCATATTAAGGAGTTAGAATAGGAAGGACTTTGGGTCTAGTGGGAAGATGAAAAATCTAAATGGAAGAAGAAACTCAGAGCAAGTGGTTGTATGGTAAAGAGTGGACATAGGAAATGCTAACTATAGAATGCCTCCTGGAATCAGCATTTTTATGCCACTTTGCATCTTTACAGCTTGGGTGAGGGAAAGGTTTACTTTCTTTTTTTTTTATCCTCACCCGAGGACATTTTTCCATTTTTTGTTCAGATAGAGTGGGAGGGAGAGAGAGAGAAACATCGACCTGAAAGGGACACATCAAGTGGCTGCCACCTGCACGACCCAACCAGGGGTGGGGACAGACTGTAACCGAGGTACATGCCCTTAGCGGGAACCGAATCCAGGTCTCCTCGGACCGCAGGCCGACACTCTCACCGCTGAGACAAACCGGCCAGGGTGGGAAAGGTTTACTTTCCAATTGAAGATTTTGAGATAACCAGCCCTGAAAAAAAAAATTTTTTTTTTTTTTTTTGCTTCGTACTATGCACTATGCTAGGTGGTTTTTTTTTTGTTTGTTTTTTTATCCTCACCCGAGGACATTTTTGCTATTTTGTTCAGATAGAGTGGGAGGGAGAGAGAGAGAGAGAGAAACATCGATGTGAAAGGGACACATCGAGTGGTCACCACCCACACAACCCAATCAGGGCCGGGGACGAACTGCAACCAAGGTACATGCCCCTAGCGGGAACCAAACCCGGGTCTCTCCAGACCGCAGGCCAACGCTCTAACCGCTGAGCAAAACCGGCCAGGGCTTTGTTTTTTTTTAAATAAATGCTAACTTACTGTATTTTTGTTATTCAGCCAGGTCAGTAGCAGTTTCATTTTACAGATGAAGAAACTGAACCCAGAGAGCTTAAGTTATGTAACTAAGGTTCCAGCTAGTAAGTTGCAAAATTGGAATTCAAAACAAGTCTTTCAACGTCTAAATCCAGAGCTGTTTCTGGAATACCATTGTTGCTTCTTGAAACCTTGAGATATGAGACCAAGACAGCCAGAGTTTATACAGGGTAGAAGGAGAGGTGCCAGAATTGTGGGCAAATTAATAATTAGGTTTTCCTCCACCTCAGGCTTTCTGATTTGTTTGATCCTGTTCCTTTTCCTCATAGAGGATTTCTAGGTGGGAGTTAGTAAGCAAATGAATTATCTCTACTTTATAAATGAGCAGAACTAAGCTCCCATAATCCTTTGGGAGTGGTGATTATATGTCCAGGGACAAGCTGTGAGATGAAGTTTTGGGGAAGGTAGTTGGCCACACTGAGCCCCTGGGTACTGCCTCCTCCTTCCTTCAGAAGTCACTGCCACAGGGAAGCATTCAATAGGAAATGGGTTTAAGGATTAACTGCAGAAGTTTGACTACTCCTCTTTAGTGACTTTACTTTTAAATTTGAGCCAAAGCTGTATCTCCAGTATTAATAAGAGTGATTTAGTTGTTAAAAATGAAAGGAGGCCCTGGCCGGTTTGGCTCAGCGGTTGGAGCGTCCGCCTACGGTCCGGAGAGACCCGGGTTCGGTTCCCGCTAAGGGCATGTACCTCGGTTACAGTTTGTCCCTGGCCCTGGTTGGTCGTGCGGGTGGCAGCCACTCGATGTGTCTCTTTCACATCGATGTTTCCCTCTCTCTCTCTATCTCTCTCTCCCTCCCACTCTATCTGTACAAAAAATGGAAAAATGTCCTCGGGTGAGGATTAAATAAATAAATAAATAAATAAATAAATAAATAAATAAATAAATGGAAATTAAAAAGTCCTTACAATTTTGACCTGAAAGTATTTATTGAATCCATCTGTACTATGACTCCACAAATATCTAGAATATTGTTGGTGAAACTCTGGGAGGGCTAGTGGCAGTTTGTTCACAGCTTCACCAGCGTAAGACCAACATTTTTAAAGTTACTATTTATTTTAAATGTTCACTAGTAGGTGAATGGTTAAATATGTCCATATATGAAAAGTATTTAGCTGTTAAAAAGTATAAGGAACCGCCCGGCTGGTATGACTCAGTGATTAAGCATTGATCCATACACCAAGAGGTTGCTGGTTCGATTCCTGGTCAGGGCACAGGCCCAGGTTGTGGGCTGAGTCCCCATTGTGGGGCATGCAGGAGGTAGCCAGTTGATGTTCTCTCTCATCAATATTTTTATCTCTTTCTCCCCACCTTTTATCTCTCTAATATCAATAAAGAAAAAAAACATATTTTTAAGTGTAAGGAACTCAGAGTATCATGACAAGGACAGATATTTAAAGTATGTTATTAAGTGATAAAAAACCAAGTTGTGCTCTGGCCGGTTGCTCAGTGGTTAGAGTATCGGCCTGTGGACAGAGAGACCTAGGTTCGGTTCCCGCTAAGGGCACATACCTCGGTTGCAGTTTGTGCCTGCCCCAGTTGGGGTCGTGTGGGTGGCAACCAGTTGATATGTCTCTCTCTCGTTGATGTTTCTCATTCTCTCTTCCTCCCTCTCGAACCTCCTGCTTTATCTGAAGATAAATGCAAAAATGTCCTCTGGTGAGGATAAAAAATAAAAAAGCAAGTTGTATATATGTGTTGGTAAGTGTGTAGGGAAAAAAGTCTGAAAAGGCAAATATTGTAATTACTTTTGGGGAATAGGAGGGAGCAGAGGGTATACATATTTTTCCTTTTATGTTTTAACACATTTGCATTTTTTATAATGAGTAGATTTTAATATGTTTACATTGATTTTTTTTTTTTTTTTTTTTAAGAGAGGAAAGGAGAGATAGAAACATTGATGTGAGAAAGAAACATCAGTCTTCTGCCTCCTGCATGCCCCACCTGGGGATCGAGACTGAAACTCAGGCATATGCCTTGACTAGGAATTGAACTGGGACCTCTCAGTCCATAGGACAACGCTCAATCCACTGAGTTACACCGGCCAGGCTGCTTATGTATTTTATATATGTGAGATCAGAAGAAAGACAGGTGATTTTTTTTTTATCCTCACCCGAGGACATTTTTCCATTTTTTGTTCGGATAGAGTAGGAGGGAGAGAGAGGAAGAGAGAGAAAGAGAAACATCAACGTGAAAGGGACACATTGAGTGGCTGCCACCCACACAACCCAACCAGGGCCAGGAACAAACTGCAACCAAGGCACATGCCCTTAGCGGGAACTGAACCCGGGTCTCTCTGGACTACAGGTCGATGCTCTAACCGCTGAGCCAAACAGGCCAGGGCTGCTGCTGCTGCTGCTGCTTTTTTTTTTTTTTAATGAGAGGTCACTCTTGCCCTGGCCAAGTGGTTCCGTTGGTTAGAGCGCTGTCCCGTACACCAAAGGGTTGAGGATTCGATTCCTGTGTATAGTAGGCAACTGATTGATGTTCCTTTCTCTCTCTGTCCTTCACTTCCTTTCTCTTCATAATCAGTAAAAACATATCCTCGGGTGAGGATTAAAAATAAATAAAAGAGCCCAGCTAGTGTGGTTCAGTGGTTGAACGCCGACCCGTGCACCAAGAGGTGGCTGGTTTGATTCCTGGTCAGAACACATGCCCAGGTTGTGGGCCTAATCCCTAGTGGGGGGCATGCAGGAAGCAGCCAATCAATGTTCTTGCTCATTGATGTTTTTATCTTTCTCTCTCCCTGCCTCTGTAAAAATCAATAAAGAAAAATAAATAAATAAATAAATAAGTAAGTAAATAAATAAATAAAAGAAAGGGCACTGTTTATGTACTCATTTCTACTTGTCCAGATCACCCATCAGAGGTGCCAGAGAAGCTCATCCAGGACCGGTTCCGGAAGCTGGGCCGCTTCCCTGAAGCCTTCAGTTCCATTCACTATAAGGGAACCAGGACTTACAACCCTCCCACAGACTTCTCTGGACTTCGTCGTGCTTTGGAGCAGCAACTAGAGAACAACACCACCCGTTCTCCCCGGCACCCAGGGGTCATCTTCAAAGCCCTGAAGGTCAGTTGGCTCCCGCCTCAAGTGCTTCTCACTGTATTACCAGTGGGTGGTGAGACTATTCAGTTCAGGAGCTTTTGTTAGTGCTTGTGATTGGAAACGTGGGCTGGAAAGAGAGGTTACGAGAAAAGGAAGTGCACAAGTGGAGTTTACACCTATTGAATGAGCTCATCTTTCTAGGAGCTCAAGTGCAGAGGAATCTTGGGTGATAGTTAAAAAGTGGTAAGTCTTTATATCAGAAAACTAGGCTTTTAGGCAATAGGAAAAAGCATTAATTGATAGGTGGTGTGGCCCAGCCCTGGTGAGCTGACTTTGTGTTCAGTCTCAGTTATCTGGACAGCTTTGTGTTTTTTTCTTTTTCTTTTATCCTCACCCGAGACATTTTTCCATTTTTTTTTGTTCAGATCGAGTGGGAGGGAGGGAGAGAGAGAGAGGGACAAACATTGACGTGAAAGGGACACATCGGGTGGCTGCCACCCGCACGACCCAACCAGGGCTGGGGACAAACTGCAACCAAGTCACGTGCCCTTAGTGGAAACCGAACCCAGGTCTCTCTGGACTGCAGGCCGACGCTCTAACTGCTGAGCCAAACCGGCCAGGGTTGTGTTTTTCTTTATATAGACTCCTCTGTTCTCTTTTTCTTTTTAACCTAAATTAATTTATTTAAGAAGGCAACATTTTGTAATCATTATAAATGAAAAACTAGTATCACAGGTAGAAATTTGGTCAAGACAAAAAGAAGAAACAGATATATGATAACAGTAATTGCTATTTATGAGGTATCAAAGTTCAGAGGATTCATTCATTTAATCCTTACAGCAACTCTATGAGGTGAGTACTATTGCCATCCTTATTTTTGTAGATGAGGAAACTGAGGCATAGAGAGATGAAGGAATCAATTACACTTAGTTCCTAAGTGGCAGCAGGCATAAACCAGGCTGTTTTACTCTAGAGCTCCTTCTGCCTCTCAGCAAATAAAATACCATATTACTTCCTTTCTAGAGATTGTTGCTCATGAAAAGCTCTAAGACTGGAGCTTGTTTTTTGTTTTAATTTTTTATTCTCACCCGAGGACATTTTTTCGGTTTTTGTTCAGATAGAGTGGGAGGGAGAGAGAGGAAGAGAAGGAGAGAGACATCGACATGAAAGGGACTCATCGAGTGGCTGCCACCTGCACGACCAACCAGGGTTGGGGACAAACTGCATCCGAGGTAACGCGCCCTTAGTGGGAACCGAACCCGGGTCTCTCTGGATCGCAGGCCAACACTCTAACCGCTGAGCCAAACCATCCAGGGCTGGTTTTCTTTTTTTTCTTATCCTCGCCCGAGGACATTTTTCCATTTTTTTTGTTCAGATAGAGTGGGAGGGAGAGAGAGGAAGAGAGAGAGAGAGAGAAACATCGATGTGAAAGGGACACATCGAGTGGCTGCCACCCGCTCGACCAACCAGGGCCGGGACAAACTGCAACCGAGGTATATGCCCTTAGCGGGAACCGAACCCGGGTCTCTCTGGACCGCAGGCTGACTCTCTAACCGCTGAGCCAAACCGGCCAGGGCCAGGGCTATTTTTCTTTATTTAAAAGGGAGATTAGCACCAAGTGTGGCTCAGTGGATTGAGTGTCCTCCCTTGCACCAAGAGGTTGCCTGTTTGATTCCTGGTCAGGGCAAATGCCCAGGTTGTGGGTTCCATCCCGAGTGTGGGGTGTGCAAGAGACAGCCAATCAGTGTTTCTCTTCATTGATGTTTCTCTCTTTCTCCCCCTCTCCCTTCATCTCTATCTGAAAAAAAGTCAACAAAAAATATATTAAAAGGGAGATTAGCAAGTGTTTGGAGATGATAAAGATACAGTGTTACCTAAGTGAGACTTTCCCCTTCACAGAATCTGACATTTTCAAAAAGATTGAAAAGGTAGTAATTTCTCCTGTAATCATGTCTGTACAGCATTGATGTGAGGCCCACGTTTGGGGAAACCTCTCTAAGCATTGTACCTTTGTTCCTTACAATCAGGTGAATTGTTTTTCTTATGTATCCCAGCAGTGGTATCAATGTATTGTTTGGATAATACAGCAAAATCCTGTTATAAAGCACCTTGCTGTTCCATAATTTCCCGTTGTGATGGATGGCGGTTGCATTATTTTTTTTCAATCCTCACCCGAGTATATTTTTCTTTTTCTTTAAAAAAAAACTTTTTTTTTTTCCCTTCCTCTGGCCGTTTTGGCCCAGTGGTTAGAGCGTCAGCCCATGGACAAGAGAGACCTGGGTTCAGTTCCCGCTAAGGGCACGTACCTTGGTTGCAGTTTGTCCCTGGCCCTGGTTGGGGTTGTGTGGGTGGCAACCAGTCGTGTCTCTCTCACATCGATGATTCTCTCTTCCTCCCTGTCTCTCTCCTGCTCTATCTGAAGATAAAATGCAAAAATGTCCTCGGTGAGGATAAAAAAATAATAATAATTTTTTTTATTAATTAATTTATTTTTCTTATAGATGTACCCCCCCCCCCGCAGACACCCTTCTCCCTAGCCCCCATCCCCAAACATTGTTGTCTATGTCCATTGGTTACCCATACATACATATAAGTTCTTTGGTTTATCTTATCCCTCCCCACTGCCCCTCTCCTCTGAGGTTTGTCAGTCTGAACCATACTCCTTTCTTTGTCTCTGGGTCTGTTCATCAGCTTTTTTTTGTTCATTATATTCCACAAATAAATAAGATCATGTGGTATTTGTCTTTCTCTAATTGGCTTAGCATAATACTCTCCAGGTCCCTCCATGTTGTCACAAAGTATACAAGATCTTTCTTACACCTATATAGTGTTCCACTATGTGCCACAGTTTTTTTTTTATCCACTCATCTATTGATGGACACTTAGCAATTGTTAATAGTGCTGCTATGAACATAGGGGTACATATATTCTCTCTGATTGGTGTTTAAGGCTTCTTGTTTCAGGCTTCCTAGGATATATTCCTAGAAGTGGAATCACTGGATCAAATGGCAATTCAATTTTTAATTTTTTGAGGGAACACCATATTGTTTTCCATAGTCGCTGCACCAGTCTGCATTCCCACCAGCAGTGTAGTAGAGTCCCCTTTTCTCCACACCCTCACCAACACTCGTTTGATGATTTGTTGATGGCGGCCATTCTGGCAGGTGGGACTGCATAGTCATTTTAATTTTCATCTCTCTGATGATTAGTGACTTTGAGCATTTTTTCATATGTCTCTTGGCCATTTGTATGTCCTGTTTGGAGAGGTGTCTATTTAGGCCCTCTGCCTGTTTTTTAATTGGTTTCTTTGTCTTTCTTTTGTTGAGTTGTATAGTACACTGTATGTTTTGGAAATTAATCCCTTATCTGATGTATCATTGGCAATTATGCTCTTCCGTACAGTGGGTTGCCTTTCCATTTTGATGGTTGTATCTTTTGCTGTGCAGAAGCTTTTTAGTTTGATGTAGTCCCATGTATTAATTTTTTCCTTTCTTTCTCTTGCCTTAGGCTTTGTATCAGTAAAAATTCTGCTGCGTGTGATGTCTGAAATTTTGTTGCCTACATTTTCTTCTAGGATTTTTATTGACTGACATTTAAGTTTTTTATCCATTTTTAGTTTATTCTTGTGTATGGTTTAAGTTGGTAGTCTAGTTTCATTTTTTTGCATGTAGCTGTCCAATTTTCCCAGCACCATTTATTGAAGAGGCTGATTTTACTCCATTATATGCTCTTGCCACCTTTGTCAAATATTAATTGAGCATAATGTCTTGGGTCAATTTCGGGGTTCTTTGTTCTGTTCCATTGATCTACATGCCTGTCCTGTGCCAGTACCAGGATGTTTTCATTACAATGGCTTTGTAGTATAATCTGATATCTGGTATTGTGATCCCCTCCTACGTTGTTTTTTTTTTTCAAGATTGCTGTGGCTATTCAGGATTTTTTTGGTTCCATGTAAACTTCTGAAGTATTTGTTCTAGTTCTGTTAAATATGTCGTTGGTATTTTGTTGAGGATTGCATTGAATCTATAGATTGCTTTGGGTATTATGGACATTTTAATAATGTTAATTCTTTCAATCAAGGTATATGCTTCCACTTTTTTATTTCTTCCTCTATTTCTTTTTTCAATGTCCTGTAGTTTTCTGCAAATAGGTCCTTTACTTCCTTGGCTAAGTTTATTCCTAGGTATCTTAATTTTTTGCCGCAATGGTAAATGAGATTGTGTTTTAGTTTCTCTTTCTGTGAGTTCATTATTGGTGTATAAGAATGCTGTCAATTCCTTGATGTTAATTTTATATCCTGCTACTTTGCCAAATTCGTTTATTAAATCTAGTAGATTTTTTTTTTAATCTTCACTCAAGAACATTTTTGCATTCATCTTCAGATAGAGTGGGAGGGAGAGATGGAGAAAGAGAGAGAGAAACATCGATGTGAGAGAGAGACACATCAACTGGTTGCCCCCTACACAACCCCAACCGGGGCCAGGGACAAACTGCAGCCAAGGTACATGCCCATAGCAGGGAACTGAACCTGGTTCTCTCTGGTCCGTGGGCCGACACTTTTTTTTTTTTTAATCTTTATTGTTGAATGTAGAATGTATTACAGATGTTCCACATTTTTCCCCCATTGACCCCCTCCTCCCCACTCCTGCCCCCCTCCCACCTTTTCCCATACTGTTGTCTGTGTCCATTGGTTATGCATATAAGTTCTTTGGTTTATTTCCTCCCACTCCCCCAACCCCTTTCCTTTTGAGGTTTGTCAGTCTAACAATGGATTTGTACTTCTTAATCCCTTCACCTTTTTCACCCATTATCCCAACCCCCTCCCATCTGGCAACCAACAAAATGTTCTCTGTATCTATGAGAATGTTTCTGATCTACCTGTTTATTTTGTTTGTAGATTCTATTGTTGATAGATACGTATTCATTGCCATTTCGTTTGTTCATATATTTTATGTTTTTCTTCAAAAAGACCCTTCATCATTTCATATAATAACGGTTTGGTGGTGATGAACTCCTTTAACTTT